TATATATATATGTTAGAAAGAGTTGCTGAATATCTGTGGAAAAATAAAAACTGTTTTTGAAGTCCCCCAATTGATTTACCAGCACAGTTTGATGGCTTCCATTCACAGCTCCGGTGTTTGTTGTTAGCCAAGAAAAGAATCAGATGATATGAAATTCCACAGCAAGCAAAGCTTATTTTTTTGTTTCACGAAACCTTAGCTTACAAAGATTTCTTTTGAAAAGCATTGTTTTTATAGTAGAGACTGAGGTCAGGGATTCTCCTTGAAATATGCACATTAAACAAGTGACCAGCTGGCTGTTCAGCTATGTGATTGTACAAAGTAGCCTAAAAGTATTTGTTTTAGTACTTCTCCGTATTTATATTACTTTGATGGCCAAGAAAAACCTAGAGTGTGATCAAATTATCTCGAAAGGTTATATAATTAAAATGAGACAAAAAGATGTTAAAACATTTTTTGTTCTTTTTTTTCTAAGGTTCTTTCTAAGAATTTGTCAACAAAGAGCAGAGCTTTGACCAAAAGGCAGTTGTAAATTTCTTCTGATGAAAACCATTCATCGCCTCACTCTTTCTATAAATATTTGTAGAGGTTTTGACATTTACGTGGGTGATGCATAGCTTAAAACAGACCGAACACATTTTAAGTCTCACGGCAGCTGCTTCACTGTCTGGTCTGCCTCACCACATAAACTGTTCAGGTAGTTACACTTTAAAGAACTTGACAGATTTCTGTCTGGAACAACCTGATCTTCTCAGGTCCACAACCCACATGACCCAAAGGATCAAAACCAAAGTTCAACCCCGAAGGCTCAGCATCAAAGGCTTGATAGTTTGGAGATTTGTTCTTGTGAGGGCATTTAGGTATTTGTTTGTAATGTTTTAAAGGGGATGATTTAAACGTAATCTCTACTGCTTAAACATCTTTCTATTCTGTTTGGGTCTTATTTTTCAACCTGTTCAGTTTTCTCTATTTTCTGTGTTCTGAACTATTATTTCACATAATTTGCAATGGAACTGCCAAATAATGTATGGATTAGTAAAAATCATCTAGACCACATGTGTCAAACTCAAGGCCCGCGGGCCAGATGTAGGGTTGGGTACCGAAACTCGGTTCCAGTATGGCATCGGGGCGAACAACTACAGTAGTACACAGACCGAAACACAACTCTAATTTCGGTGCTTTATTTCGGTGCCTCAAAGAAAGCTGTTAATTTGCGCCCTCTGGTGTTCACTGTTAACAGTGACGCCTCGGCACACAATCTCCACAGACGCTATGGTATGCGGTTCAACTCGGCTCGGTCTCGGTCCAATGCGCCTCTCCAAACGCGCTCCACAGCCGCCCTGTCTCAGAACCTCCTCTCCGGTGATTCGGTTAGAAGTGAGTATAGCACACTTATGATTTTAACATCAGCAGAATTCTGCCCGTGGATTAACTCTCTTGGATTGACTGACAGCARATTTCCTCCTGGAGAGCTGCTTTTGTTTAATACGAGCGCGCTGCGTGATACGACGACATGAAATAAGTTTAATTTAGGAACCGGTACAGTTTTGAAAGTATCGATTTAGCACTGGTATCGAAATAAACCCTTTCAGTACCCAACCCTAGACAGATGTGGCCCGTGGGAGACTCCCGTGTGCCCCCCCAATA